TGTAATATCATATATCATCTTGAATTGACTAGACTCAGTTTGCTGTAATATTTTTATAACACTGTTGAATGTAATATCATATATCATCTTGAATTGACTAGACTCAGTTTGCTGTAATATTTTTATAACACTGTTGAATGTAATATCATATATCATCTTGAATTGACTAGACTCAGTTTGCTGTGATATTTTTATTACAGTGTTGAAAGTAACATGATCTATTGTCTGGAATTGAGTAGACTGAGGTTGCAGTCATATTTTTATTACACTGTTGAAAGTAACATGATCTATTGTCTGGAATTGAGTAGACTCAGGTTGCAGTCATATTTTTATTACACTGTTGAAAGTCACACCATGTATCATTTGGAAATGATGAGACTTAGTTTTGCATTGATACTTTTTATCATAGTGTTGAAAATTACACCATCTATCTGAAAAAACTGTTTGCCAGTTTTGTGTGTACTGGGTGTTTATGACCTAATGGCAAATCACGAAAAATGAGTTCACCTCTCTTTCCTTTTTCTACCAATCGTATTTTCAGGATTCTAGTTTGGTCTTCTCCTGTAATGTCTATTATGCTTCCTCTATGAATCTCTTCATTTTCATGTGACTGGGCAAGTACATTTATAACTTCTCTTTCAACCTAAAGAAAATAAATGTTTTAACTCTTTTTTTATATCTTAAAAACACTTTCTAAAACTAGTTAAGATAAATCAGTATGTTATTGTTTCATATTGCAGACAAAAACATGTTACACATTACCTGTATCTAATATTCTCTGCTAAAACAAAATATCCTAGGGAAAAAAAACTTCATTATTATCACCAATGAAAGAAGTTTCCATGTATGAAAGTGTGAAAATCATGTGGTAACACAGCTGTGCAACTTTAAAATATCACATGGTAAGAAAAAACATCTGTGACAATTCGATGTGCTATTAATTTACATTAGGAACCTTGTTAATATATTTTTTGAAGAATGATGAACTTGCCTGATATTTTATTGACCTGGCTCCATAATACATGTCATAGCCATCACATAAAATATCCAAAGCTGTATTATCCCACTTTAATTCGATATCATGCTTTTCTTTAGCCTAGAAAAGAATAAACGAAGAATATTACTCAAAAAATGTCAACCACATAACAGATTGTAACACCTAATACTATGAATAAACTGATACTTAAACATTTGCTACTTAACCTCCCACATGTGTAATAAAAACATTCTCATCCAAAATTTACATTGGCATTATATGTCACTTAAGAAACATTTGTAACTACAGATTGAATTTTTCATTTTACATGGGTATTAAATAATTCACGGTAATACTTTCCAGATTCATTCTTTTTTTTTTGTTTTACAAATGTAATACTCTACATCGTGTTTATGAAAAATAAGACTTTTACTCAGACAAAACAACTTACTGTACTATTACTCTCTCTGCCCTAATTATACACACAAAGATATGTTGTACTACATTTGTCCTAATTATACACACACAGAGATAGGTTGTACTATATTTGTCCTAATTACACACACCGATACGTTATATTTGTCCTAATTACTCAAACAGATGTTGTACTACATCTGTTCTAATGATATAGACACAAAGATATGCTGTACTATATCTGTCTGTGTGTATGTGTGTAATTAGAACAGATGTAGTATACCATACCTGTTTGTGTAATTAGGACAAATGTAGTACACCATATTTGTTTGTGTAATTAGGACAAATGTAGTATACCATACATGTTTGTGTAATTAGGACAGATGTAGTACAACATACCTGTTTGTTTAATTAGGACAGATGTAGTATAGCATACCTATTTGTGTAATTAGGACAAATGTAGTATACCATACCTGTTTGTGTAATTAGGACAGATGTAGTACAACATACCTGTTTGTTTAATTAGGACAGATGTAGTATAGCATACCTATTTGTGTAATTCGGACAAATGTAGTATACCATACCTGTTTGTGTAATTAGGACAGATGTAGTATACCATACCTGTTTGTGTAATTAGGACAAATGTAATACAACACATCGTTGTGTGGGTATAGTTGAGACAGATATAGTACAGCATATCTTTGTGTCTATATCATTAGGGCAGATGTAGTACAACATATCTTTGTGTCTGTATCATTAGAACAGATACAGTACAACATATCTTTGTGTGGTGTGTATAATTATGACAGATACAGTACAACATATCTTTGTGTATAATGGGGACAGATATAGTATAACATATCTTTCTGTTTGTATAATTAGGACAGATGTAGTACAACATATCTTTCTGTTTGTATAATCAGGACAAATATAACGTATCGGTGTGTGTAATTAGGATACGTTATATTATATATGTCCTAATTATACACACCGATATGTTATATTTGTCCTAATTACACACATCAATATGTTATATTATATTTGTCCTAATTATACACGAAGATATGTTGCACTATATCTGTCCTAATTACACACATACAAAGATATGTTGCACTATATCTGTCCTAATTACACACATACAAAGATATGTTGCACTATATCTGTCCTAATTACACACATACAAAGATATGTTGCACTATATCTGTCCTAATTACACACATACAAAGATATGTTATACTATATCTGTCCTAATTACACACATACAAAGATATGTTATACTATATCTGTCCTAATTATACATGCACAAAGACAGGCTGAATTCAGGTGTACAGGAGGGAGGAATTCACTACTGTGCAAAAAAATTACCCCATAAAATATTTTAACTATTTTGTCTTTTTTACATAGAGGTGGTAACAAACGAATGAAAGTTTAATAGTTTGTGCTTAATGCATTAAATACAAGTAGTTTAACAGGACTTATGCTTAATATATTATATATGTGTACTTAACTTTTTGGCCCAAAACTCCATTTCCTTGTCAGCAAGCTTTATTAGTTCTGATCTTGAGAATGGAAGAAAGTAAACTATTTCATTGATTCTTCCGAGGAACTCATCTCTTTGGAAATGTCTCTAACAAAAAACATCATAAAAAATATTCCAGATTGAGATTTAATTAAAACAATAAATCTTTACTGTTGTACAATAACTCCAGGTTTTTGTCTAAGAAAGATATTTAAATGAACAGTTTAAATGGACACTATATGATTCTGTGTAGTATCTTATATATATACTACAAACTATGGTAGTTGCATCCCATGCTGCATTTGAAAAGCTGCTCACACAGGCATAGCTCAACATTTACTTTTGAAATGACAGGAAAACAGGCTTGAATAATATTGATATTAAATTATATTTCACATTCAAGTTATGCTACACTAAATTGTTAGGAATTAATCACACTATCATTCATATTTTAAAATGTGACGTAACTTAAACAATAAAAATGTAGATTTACCGTCTGTTATTGTTGAGCAGCTCTTAGCATGACTGTAATGCTCAACAATTACTTTTCACAGTGGGAGGTATAAATAGCTCAGAGCTTAGGCTCTGAGTGAAACAAAGAGTGCAACACAATTAAACTTTTAAAGTTCATGAAATAATTTAAATTGATAGATTAACTTAAACTTTTCCCATCACTGGGGATGGGTACTTTTACTTTTGGTACATATTTTGAGTCCCTCATATTTATGAAGAATGTGGATAATCGTCAGCTCTACAGTACACTAACGTATCTTTGGTATTAGAGCAAATTTTACTGTAGACTAAAACAAACAAAGACAAAACTCCCCCCACCCCAAACAGTTTATGTACAAAGAATCCACACACAGCTGTAACAATTAGTGGAAATAAGATAAAATTTCTATATCGAAAGAAATGAATCATGACAGTTTTACATTTTTATGTCTTGCTGTAGAAAAAAAAACTTTGCCATTTTACTTTAAAGTTTAAATACATTTTTTCTACAAGAGCTACCAAATACCAACAAAGAATCGTAATGAAAAAAAAGAAATGTTTCAAATTTGACTCTACTGGAATTATATTTTACAGTAGATGCTACAGAAACTAAGAAAAACAGAAAGCCTATCATTGGCTACTTTTACATGAAAGCCTATTATTGGCTACTTTTACCTGAAAGTCCATTACTGGCTACTTTTACCTGAAAGTATATTATTGGCTACTTTTACCTGAAAGCCCATCATTAGCTACTTTTATCTGAAAGCCCATCATTAGCTACTTTTACCTGAAAGTCCATCACTGGCTACTTTTACCTGAAAGCATATCATTAGCTACTTTTACCTGAAAGTCCATCACTGGCTACTTTTACCTGAAAGCATATCATTAGCTACTTTTACCTGAAAGTCCACTTTCAGGTAAAAGTAACCAATGATGGACTTTCAGATAAAAGTAGCTAATGATATATCATTAGCTACTTTTACCTGAAAGTCCATTACTGGCTACTTTTATCTGAAAGCCCATCATTAGCTATGTCCAGCCAATTTGTTTCTAATAAAATCTTTTATGTTGTGTACTATAAGTAAAAACAACAAATATTAAGACATTTCATGGTATAAGTGTACAATATTCAGGAGAAAAACATTTCCAAACTCATACATTTAATACAGGTTTGGCATTTGAAAACTCATACCTTTAACATAGGTTGGATATTTGAAAACTCATACCTTTAACATAGGTTGGATATTTCAAAACTCTTACCTTTAATATAGGTCGGACAACTTCATCCTTGAACTTTTTGGAGATAGGTATTTTCTCTTCATTTCCTTTGTACGAAAAAAAAAGCTATAATTGATTATAAAAAAAATTGTAAAATCTCCCTTCAACCTTTATATTATTTCTTATAAAAACCACAGCACTAATTAGAATTAATTGTTGAATTAACCATCAATCTTAACATATTTTGTCAAACTACCATGTCATAGCACAAATGTTAAATGTACAATGAACTGTTAGATCATATTATTGTTAAATTAACCACCAATCTTAACATATTTTCTCAAACTACTGTTGTTGCATTAATCTTAAATCTATGATCAACTGTTAGTTTATAGTACTGTTAGATTCATCATCAATCTTAACAACATATTTTCTAAAACTAATGTGTCATAACACTAATCTAAGATCTATGATCAACTGTTAGTTTATAGTACTGTTAGAGTCATCATCAATCTTAACAACATATTTTCTCATACTCTACTATAATAACATCTTACAAGAGTACCTTTTTTAGGAAGTCTAATCAGTATATTCCTCATCAGTCCAGTAAAGTCAGCGAACCACCTTTATACCCCCTGTTTTCCAGTCTTACAAGAGTACCTTCTTTAGGAAGTCTAATCAGTATACTGACTTTACTGGACTGATGAGGAATGAACCACCTTTATACCCCCTGTTTTCCAGTCTTAAAGGAAGTATTATCATAATAATAAAGTAATAAAGAATCTTACAAGAATGCTTTTTTTTAATCGGCATAGTGACTTATGATATACCTTCATACTATAGTTTTCTGCAAGTTGTGATAAATGTATGTTTCTTGTGCAATTATTATTTAAATAAAAATCTAAACTCAAACTAAGTGCTTAAGCCAATTCAACTAATTCCTACTGGTCTGTTCTTAAGGCTGCCATGTAGAATTCAATTAGTAAATTACATTTTATAAAACTTTTCCACTTAAGTTTCGAATGGAAATTAAAATATTTACAGTAAGAGTGGCACTCAACCAGTCTTCAAAAAGCAATACGTGATTGACACTTACTCAGTTCTTTGTTGTATGCTTCCAGCCTTTGTCTAGCTTCTACTCGTAGCTCTGAAGCATAGTTGGCTATCTCACTGTTGGCAAGGTTTGATGTCATAATAAAAATTGCATCTTTACACTCTATTGTCTTCCCTCTTCCATCAGTTAATCTCCCCTGTGATTCAAGAAATATAAAATATAAAACCTAAAAAACACTACAATACTAACTACCAGCAAATAACAGAACTAAAACTCACCTCATCAAACAACTGGAGCATAATAGTTAAAATCTCTGGATGAGCTTTGTCAATTTCATCTAATAGAACAACAGCATTTGGAAAATCTCGTAACTTTTTAGTGAGTTGACCACCTTCTTCATGTCCTACATAACCTGGTGGTGAACCAATAAACTTAGATACCTGAGAAGAAGAACAGAAAAAGATAGTATAAGCAGATATAGAAACACTTATTTGCATGTACTCCATAATAGTGGCATAGAATTTAACTATTTCAAATTCCATAACAAAAACTACAGTACAAGAAAAACCTAAAAAAATAAGAAACTACATTCACAGTTTCTTTAAGTCAATATCTTAAACTGAAAAAAATCTTAAAATTAGAAGACAAAACATTAAATATAAAAAAGAAAACTTTAATATAATAATAAGAAAATAAAATAGCACAAATAAGAATCCTGCCAACAAACTTCTATAAATGTATAGAGATAAAAGCACCAAATCACTTCTCGAAACAAATCAATATGAAAACAAGCTAAAAATACCAGATAAAGATTTTAAAAAATCATGCAACTAGAAAGTATATAAAAAATAAGATGTAACAATTCTCCAATGAACCACTATAAGAATTGAAAAAAATATTACAGTACAAATGTGACATCTTTACTATCAATTACATTCATCAGCACCATAAAACATGTTTTTACATAATATCCATACAAACATAGTACATACACAGATCCACTTAATAATCTATGTAATTAAAAGAACAGTTAGTATGCGTACATATGCATACTTGCTTACCTGAAATCCAATATTTCTATTGGCTAATTTTACAGTCGTACTTTTACATTTATAGATATACAAAAGTGAATGGCATTTAATGTGGATTGTACTATACAAATGTAAAACTATGATGTTTATAACATTAACTTTAAAAAGAATTATTTCAGTAACATAAACAAACATGTAAGGAAATATATTACCTAATTCTTAACCTTTCTGTGGCTTATAACAGAATATCATTACATCTCAATACAAATTCCAACAGTCACCTAAAAATTAAGAATTAGGCTTAAACTTTAAATATGCTTTGTATGCAAAGCATGAATTTTCTTGCTACATAACCTACAGCATTTAACCTTAATAGTCACTTCCACAACTTGATGCTTTACAGCTAACAGAATGCGCAAAAGAAACTTACAGGTTTCAGGTGATATTCAAATGCAAGTTAGACAAATACACACACGCACACAAGAAAACACATGACAACAGTTGATTTTTATAATTCTTGATACCAATATTAAAAATTCACCATTCTATAACTATTGCAAGCATCTCAATAGAGGTGTCTAATTAGGCCCAAAATTTAAGTGTGCTTCACGCGTAAAGCACAAGTTTACCCACCAGAAGGATAAATATTACACAACTTCGATTATTGATGATAGTGGAATCGACACTTTGCTAGCACTTTAGGGAAGAGTAAAGGTAAAGTGTAAGGAAAAAGCAAAATAAGTGAAAGGGCAAAAAATGAAGACAGATTATTTTTAAACTTCCTGATATCATAACTTTAAAAATTCATTATCTTATAATGTCACTTTATCAGGAGTTTAATCAAGAAAAAATCTCAAGATCTTGGTCAAAGATTGCAATTATCCAGAAAGACAAGTTGTTGTGTACAGAGATATATATTTCATTTATAGCCATTTCTTGTTTTTACACTTCTTTACTTTAAATCTAAATAAACAACATCATATTCTGCTTCATAAGTTTTTGTTTCACTAAAGTCCAGCTACATATTATAACAATAGCATTGTTAAAATAATTTATCTATTCAAAACACATACTCTTCTAATACATGTAGTATTCCACTTAAAAATCATGCACATGTGAAAAAATCTTTGGGCTTTATCCCCTAGTATACACATATAATACCACACTAAGATCTGTTAGTATCATAAACAGATTTTCTTTCTCATAATAATCATCTAGACGTGTATATGTGTGTATATATATATATACACAGCCACTTAACTCCTTTAGCATGGGCTCCGTCCTTAGGACCGACTTCATAACCATATTGTGCTTGTTATAGTATTCATGCTATAACAATGCTTTCATATGCAAAATATAAATTTTTTTTATTAAGTCTTAAGGTTTGTAAAGTAATGTTTTTCTCATGCCTTTTTTTACTTTTTGCATATTGCCTATCTATCATGCAAAGTAATTTTCATTTTAAGATTAAAAATATTTTTATGCATCAGAAAATTTTCTAATTTCACATGTGAAATCTTTATAATGTCCAGATAGTTATAAAACATTGCTTAAGAAAAAACTATATTTTATCTGTTATTTTCAGTAATTAATCTCTGTACGGGTTTGGTAGATTTGATCGATCTCACAACCACCATAAAAAATTAGGAAATAAACATAAATTATGCCTCTTTCATTCTAGAATGAACACAGACTATAACACGAAAACACAAG